TCTCTCTCTCTCTCTCTCTCTCTCTCAAAAATAAATAAAAATAATTTTTTTAAATAGTCTCTTTTTATCATAGTTCTAAATATAAATAACTTAACAGTGTTAGGCTTTCGTTTTATTTTATTTTTTTTTTTTAATTTTTTTTTTCAACGTTTATTTATTTTTGGGACAGAGAGAGACAGAGCATGAATGGGGGAGGGGCAGAGAGAGAGAGGGAGACACAGAATCGGAAACAGGCTCCAGGCCCTGAGCCATCAGCCCAGAGCCCGACGTGGGGCTCGAACTCCCGGACCGTGAGATCGTGACCTGGCTGAAGTCGGACGCTTAACTGACTGCGCCACCCAGGCGCCCCTAGGCTTTCATTTTAATGTACAGATATTGTAAATTTCAAATTATTTTACATGAAGAAACTTTATATAAATATTCAATATAGTAAAAATCTGGTAGTTTGTATAGCTTTAAAAGTATATAGTGTTTTAAATTAGTTTTATTTTTGAGACAGCACAAGTGGGAAGGGACAGAGAAAGAGAGGAGACAGAGGATCTGAAGCGGGCTCTGCAATAAAAGCAGTGAGCCTGATGTGGGCCTTGAACTCATGAACTGTGAGACGCTCAACTGACTGAGCCACCCAAGTGCCCCAAAATTATGTAGTGTTTTAAGCACAGTATAGGCCCTCTCAGTGTTTTTCTAAATAATTCCTTCCATCTCTTCTACTGACTTATCTTTATTTTTACTTCTTTCTTATCATGGTAAAACTGCTGAAAACTGAAATGGATTTAGAAAGGTGTAGTCTTGGCTCTAGTCTGCTCTCACTAGAGTAAACAGATTTGGACAGCCATCACAAATAGCTCTTGGTAACTCAGAGACTAAATACATATCAAAGACCTTTCTTCCATAAAATGAAGCTCTCTATGGTTATTAAATAAAAGTTGTTTGTTGCATACCTTTACTCATTTAAAATGCTTTATCATCACTTCCATAAAGGGGAAGGAATCAAAGTTAAAATATAGAAACCAAGAATTATTTGTAGAATTGTGTTACTGATCGATTGGCAAAACAAAAATGAGAAAATATTAGTAAAATGTTTATAATTTATGACCTAAGTGTCGTAGACTCTTAAGTCTAAAGTTCTTTCTTGTCTAGCAAGAAAGCGGGACACGGAATTGAAATGCAACAGATGGCTAATGTCCAGGAAAAGACCAGAGCCCTGAATAAGGGTCCTTGCCCCATATTTATTAAGATCAGAAGGCTTACAAACGTGATGGGCATCCACAAAGAGACAATGCATCGGTGAACATTAACTCATGAGCATGAGGGAAAGGGGGTTTAGAAGATATACGGTGTTTGTGGTTTGGGTCAATAGAAGAATCCTGGCATAGGGCAGATGGGCAGATGGTTGTTAATGGCAGACAGGAGGTGCCAGTTATCTGTTGATCTTAGCTGCCTAGGGGATAAGGCAGATAAGTCAAACAACCTCAGGGTTAATGAGGCACCTTTTCTTTTGCTAATCAGCTCTGCTCTGGGCAGCTTCACCTGCAGTTCAGAGGTCCATAGCTCTATTTACCTGTTTACCTAACTTGGTCCTTCCCTCCTGTAAAAGCAGCTTTCTGCCATAGTACTAAATTGAGGGGCGGTGGGGTGGGGGGTTCACCTGAATGCCTAATCTTGCTTACCTCATATACCCATGTATTGGGGGCCTTTGCCTCCCTCTCTATTCTGGGACCTTTGCCCCTTCCTCTCTATTCTGGGGGCCTAGGCCCCTCCCTACTTTATTCTGGGAGTCTTACCTTGTTTACCCAAGCTTGGGTGAGAGCACCCTATGCCTTTGTAATTCTTTATGCCTCATTAACCCGTTGGTGCAAGCCCAGGGAATTCCTAAACTTATTCCCCACACCTAAGGTCTTCTTTCCTCAGGACGTGTTAGTTATGTCCTACTTTTTAAAATGTATGTGATCTCCACACTAAAGAAAGAACTTCAGAATATATCCTTCCTAATTCTTTGGTAGCAGAGTTAGCCACCAAAGAATCTAGTGAATGAGAAAAAAGAGAAAACTAACAGTATCTTTTCAGTTTTGACCCCTCAGTTAAAACTTTTGGGAGGGATGCTTGGGTGTCTCAGTCAGTTAAGTGTCTGACTTCGGCTCAGGTCATGATCTCACGGCTGATGGGTTCGATGTGCTGACAGCTCAGAGCCTGGAGCCTGCTTCAGATTCTTTATCTCCCTCTCTCTCTCTGCTCCTTCCCCACTCACACTCTGTCTCTCCGTCTTTTAAAAAATAAAGAAACGTTAAAAAAAAATTTTTTTTAACTTCTGGGATTATTTCATTGAACTAATTCTTGTTCACTGACATTTTTCTTAGCCCTTATTTCTGGCTAGAAATATTTCTTTCTGACAGTACAAAAGAAAAACGACTTTACCTAAAATCTTATTCCTAGACCTACAGCAGCTTTGACTCCTAGACAGAGATATCTTTCTTGCCCCTGTCCACCCCTCTCTACCTCTCTCTCCTCTACCCATGCATATTACACCCCAGCAAAACTAACTTATTTGTGAAAAATGTATTTTGTTTCACACTCACATTGTCTTTTGACCCATCCCATCTGTCTTAGAGTGTTGTTTCCCTGGTTTCATACCTGGCAAATTCAGCATCCTTGAAACGTACTCAACTGTCATCTCTGGAAAACTGTCCCCACTTTCCACTTCCATCTTCTCAGTGCCCCTCACCATATTAATTGTCCATTCTAGCCTCTGCATTTTTACTGTGCATAATATGTGTATGATTGTATCATAGCAGGTACCAATCTATTGTTGTTGTTATTTACTCATCAGTCTCCTATAGTATATCATAGTCTTGAGTGACCTGGTCTAACTTTTTGTTCCTGACACCTAGCATGGTACCTGGAACATAACCTGAAGTGTGTGACCTTATTGAAGAATGTTCTGGTACCACTTAGATGACATGGTACTTTAATCACAGCTAATCTATCAACTAACATTTTTCTAAGCATGCTTTAAAACAAAGTAGCAATATTTTATTTTTTTTAATATATGAAATTTATTGTCAAATTGGTTTCCATACAACACCCAGTGCTCATCCCAAAAGATGCCCTCTTCAATGCCCATCACCTACCCTTCCCTTCCTCCCACCCCTCCATCAACCCTCAGTTCTCAGTTTTTAAGAGTCTCTTATGCTTTTGGCTCTCTCCCACTCTAACCTCATTTTTTTTTTCCTTCCCCTCCCCCATGGGTTTTTGTTAAGTTTCT